ATTATCGTACTGGCTGATGATAAATCGTGCCCATGTCATGACTTTTTAACGATAGTACTTCATTTATTGGTCCTCAAAATGTCATTAACTTCAAAAGCCTAGCATTAAGAGTTAATGAGACTCGAATAGGATAGGATATCTATTCGCAATTAGGTTAGTTTAAGTGTCGCTGACCTTCCTAAATTCCCGATTTGATTATTGTTAAAAGAGAATAGAAACGCAAGGACCTGGTTGCATTAACGGCGATTTTGTCAATTTTTAAAATTTTGTTGCTTCCTAAGTGAGTTTCTTTAGACGAAGCCGTTTTTGCGGAATGGGGATCGGCACTATCCACGATCTTTTCTACCATAGAAGCGATTTCTTAATTCTCCTAAATATTGGACTGCAACAAAGAAATTGAGGATGTTAGCATTCCCCAAAGCGATATTTTTTTAATTGTTTCTGCAACACCTATCTTGGCGTTATTGACATTCGGATCCCACCTGTATTTAGTTCCCTCTTCCCAAGGGGATGAACCTCGTCCAAAACTAGTTTCCCTCCCCCTCCCCTTGAGGCTCGGGCAAAAACTTTTGGAATGCGCACAAACAGCAACTGAGTTTAAAACATGTACCGAAATGGGCTTTTCTAAATGTAAACAAGGTAAATGACGCGTCGAAAAATACTAATCACAAAGGAGCATTAGACGCGCGTCTGTGAACGGTGGTCCCTGAAAGTTTAGCAACCGACATGCCGACGTGAATGCAAATTTCCACCATCATTTGGAGCCAACCAGAAAGAAGAATGTTTTAGTCAAACTGAGCATTGCTATGACCATAGTTTACTTATTCAACATCTCAAGCACCTACCTTCGAACAGTCACTAACAGGACGTGCAGAAGGTTTAAGACATGAAAAATTTTCTGTGTAATTTTTTAGTGATTTATTTAAATTCTTAGAGCATGACAAAGCTTTTGTTCTGTATTTCTGAAAATGAATGATATCTTTACTTATGAAGCTAATATGAATTAGGTTTTTAACTAAATAATCTGATGAGAACATTAAACGATTGTCGGAATCTATCAGTACTGAAATACGTCTTTTATTTGGTGATAGGGGACTGGAAATATTAAAGTTCCTGTTTTAGTGAAATTTTACCCCCCATACAGGTAGGCCTAGGATTTCGAGGCCAATTAAAATTAAAGCAGTCAATCAGTTTCCGTTCGAATCTTCTAAATAATTTTACTCGGTTATCGTAACCTGAAATATCACAACGAAGCGTGAAACGCTGACTTTTAGACAAGCGCACCTGCTTGTCGATGGCATTTTTCACACTATCCCTGTGTTAGGCTTTAAAAATATTTAGGTACATCTCAGTAGCGAGAGGCAATCAAATCGGATGCTGTGAGTTCAGCCTTGAAGGCGGCTTCTAATTATGACATCAGCCCAAGGCAGTTAAAAAGGGGCAGCTCTTGGCTTTTTAGAGGGAAACTCTCACTATAATAATGAAACAATGGCCCATCGCTCACAATAATGTGCATTAAATTTACAATGTTGTCATCCCCACGTACTTCCTAAATTTTATCGAGGTATCACCGAGAAGAAAGTGCTCAGTAACTGTTTGTTTCTTTTTTTTTCTTTAAAAAACAGTTGGTTTATTGTGGCTATTCCTCAATACTGTCGGTTGCATCACGAGTTCAACATCGATATCCTTTTGTTAAGTTAGTCACTTAGGATACGACTCGGCCCTAGACCAAAACCTTGCTGGTCAAATAAGCTAGCGGTAAAACCGACTGTCACGTCACTACAGGAAGACAGGTAAGTGGTTTGATCGAAGTAAAATAGTTTCAAACCACCCAGCTGTAAATAGTCTTAAAGCGCTTTACTCGATGCAGCGTTCCAGGAACTTCGTTAACATTCCTCCATGACAACCAGGCCCAAAGTGTTCAGCTTTTAAAAAAACCCCACCGAGATAATAGTGAAAGAAAAAGCGTGAACATGCACAGATCCAACTGAAAGGGAATTTTGAAGTAGCCGCAAACGAGTCAACGTGGACACATATCAATTCGCTCTAGTTATTATGGACTTTGCTTTGCATGCTGGTCCACGAAGTCATTCATCCATAGCGTATTAAAAGAGTGAGACGCAGAACCCAGAGCTTCTTAAAAATTCAGAAAG